CGCGGCCGGATCGCGCCTGTCGCACCACCGCCCTGCCCAGCCGACTCTGGAGACAGGTTAGTGCAGGGACAGGCTGGGAGGGTCCCTTAAATCCTCCTGGTGGCACTTACATCACATTCCCCCTGGCAGGATCTCCCCTGTGAGCTACTGGGGAATCAGTGTGGAAGCAGGGGTTAGTTGCCAGGATGGGGGAAGAAGTTTTTCTAATGGACCCCCTTTCCTCAAGTGGATAAATCAGGGGTGTCTGGGACATATTTTGGAAGCCTATACACAGCCTGCATACTTGGCCAAGTTAACATAACCATAACTCATCTACTTTTCAACTGCCGCAGTGTTATGTTGAGCCCATCTGTGAACACCTCCCCGGTGGGGGGACAACGTACACGAGCCAGGAGGAAAATGCCAGAAGTGACCTTCCTGTGCCGTGCCACCGAACATTTCTCTCGCCCATTGGGCTTTTACACCCGTAGCGTACACCTCAATAGTCTTAGGGGATTTTGGAATCCTGTGGCACCACCCCGACAATGCACCGCACTCCCCGCACTAAACCTAAACAGCCAATCACCCTTCCCGCAGGGCCAACATCGCTACGCTGATCCCATAACCCGCCTGAAGCCCTGATGAACAACACCGCTTCCAGGTGACCCTGAGTCTGATGGCGCTAGACAACAGCAATTTCCCATACGGGGATGGCTGATTCACTTGAACACGAATTCCCGAAGCCAATTGCTACCACAAAATTCCGTGCTATAGAGCCTAGAGGAGATTACAGCTGCTCTCACGTAAATTATTCTTCTGATCTGGCGAGAGGCCTAAAGGAGCTGGGCCTTCACGCCCACCAATTGGAGCAACGTATGGATTCTGGCGACTACAGTTTTTGGAGGGTCATGAACAGGGAAGGTGGAGGATCTACATGCTGAGCTGGACACTTTAAAAGAATAAGTTGGAAGGATGCTGAGAATAGAGGCACGCAGGGATAATCTAATCTCCGCATCCGCGGAATCCCCGAGGCAATCACCAATATTGCAGGGCACTGCTACTGCTCTTTTCTCAGGAGTTGGCCCCTGAGATTCCCATAGAACGTTGGAGTTTGACCGTATCCATAGAACTCTAAGCACCAACGCCCACGGAGGGTCCCTCCCAGAGACATTATGTATTAAAATTTCCACTTTTATCGTACTAAAGAACGTCTACTGCAAGCGGCTCGGAACTGCTCAGCTTTGGAATTTCATGGTCACTCTGTACCTGCTGTTTTCGCGGATTTGTCCCCAGTCCGATTACAATTGCCAAACGTCGTACCTAATACCCCTATCTTCAAATTCTTTCAATCGGCTGATATCAAGTACAGATGGGGCTTCCCTTTCAAAAGCTTCTCGTTCTCTTTCAAGGTCGTCAATTCCAGGACCTCTTCGCCAAGGGGCGGATCTTCGGCGTCATTTTCGGGAGCTCAACCTGGAACTGCCACAATCCCAGAAGTGAGGGTGACTATCGATCTCCCGCGTACGCGACTTCAAAATTCCCCAGTCTTTCGCATAAATCTCCTCCTAGTCCCAAATGTAGTTTCCCAGGGCTCTCAATTCCTACAGGCTCAGCGTTTTCAGGAAGTCCCTCCGCGACATGATGTTTAGAGGCTGGCCGCCAGTAGAGCTGGCCTTTGTTCGCCTGTGGATTTTTGGCTTGCCATGTTTCTATGATGGTGACCTCTAGATTTGTTCAGGGATTTTCATACCTCCCGTGTGGGTTTATCTCTTCCAATCCAGAGTGGATGTATTCTTTTCTCCGCACTGATTGGTTGAGATTTCTATTGTCCTGCGATGTTTCAGATTACTTATTCCAAAGTGTATTATCCTTAGTGTCTGTATAATATTTTTATATTTTTCAATTAATGCCCGAGTTGTTTCCGGTGGATGGTCGTGTCCCCCCACCCCATCGAGCTGGCTAGCGTAATGGTCTTTATGTCCTGCCCCGCTACCTAGCCTTTATGTGGGTGTTTTACCCACAGGATTGTTTTAGATTACTATATTGTTTGAATTGATATCAATGCTTCACAGATATCTTGCTTGTATGTTAATCAGTTGTCTTCTGGTCTTCCACTTCTCTTTTTTCGTCTCTTTTCTCCTTGTCGTTTTGTTTATGTGTGTTTTGTGTTATTTATAATTTTTTATTCCAGGGCTCCGGGGGTGTCGCGGCGGAATTAATCTTCCCTTTTTTAGGGTGGTCTACCCATGGTCGTTGAACGACCTGTTATCACTGAATGTCCAGGCGATGAACTACTCCGCAGAAAGGGTAAAGATATTAAGTTTCTCCGGGCTCGCCAAGTTTGGTGGTGACAAGTTGCTTGTGTTTTGTGTCAAGAAACTCTACTTCTCCACTTCACGTGTGCCCCAAAAATATTTTGAATGTTTTGCACGTTACCCCTCAGATATTTTTTTTTTAATGCTACTGCCCCGTCTAATCAGAGAGGGAGTACTGGGTCGCTTCTAGTCCATAGTAAAACTCCATTCTGTCTGTGTGAGGCGCGCATTGCTGATCCCAATGGCAGATGACCGTTCAGCTCCAGGTCACGATCCATGGGCAATAGATGTTACCATTACTGTCCTAAACTATTTGCTCCCAATTGTTAATCCCTGGAGTACCTTATTCTGAGAGTCGCATACAAGAAGCTGGATGTATCTCATTCCTGAGCTTACACAGTGGGCAAAGGGGTACGCTTTTGTTGGCAAAGGGGTTTCAAACCTAGTGCATAAATCCTGCCAAATGGATAAATATCCAGCGGAGTGCTTCTGCAAATTCCGATCAGCGAAGTCCTTTGCACGTACGTTAAAATTCTCATGGTTGGTAGATTTATGCGTGAAAATTTGATCCGGTCGACGGTTGGAAGATAGTCTACGTACACTCATTATTCACAAAACCCCAAACCCCATCATTCGCATTCCAGAATTGATCATGCCTTCGTTTCACGTAAACACCTCCTTTAGTTCGCTCTATTTCTATCTTAACGGTCCCATGGTTCAGATCTATGAGCCTAATCTTGGTGGTCTAGATCCTATCTCTCTACTATGTAGGCTGTTAGGCTTTCTGTCTCGTGGATAATGAATGCCAGTCCCATGCTTTCGTTAAAGGATAGCCAGGCGGAACTACATCGTGGTAAATCTCAGGAATCTTTTCCAATTGAACTTGGTTCTGTACTCTTCAATCAGTACCAGATGTGGGAATTACCGGTGAACAAGGCATTTCCTTGCTACGGGCCCCCCCGGGGCCCCCCCCCCACATATCCCCCCCCCCGGGGGGGGCGGACTCTTGAGTCCAAATAGCTTCCAAGGCGAAAAAAGGAAAAGACACCAGTTCAACAGTGGTCATTTGGAATCGAAGTTTAGCTTTGCTGTCGGTGCCCCCAATTTAAAACATTCACCTCGAATTCGAGGAATAAATTCGATTCGAGGCGAATATATTCGCTGCGAATTTAACTTATAAAAAGGGTGTTTCTAGGCTTCAGAGAGCCTTTATATTAGTTTAATTTAAATGCCCTTGGAGTCTGTGGGGAAGAGAAATAATACTGTCAGTCAGTATGACATGCAGATGAGTGCCGTCGATCTTAGAATCACCGCACACTTCACTCATTTTGGGCAGTCACGGGGCCAAAACCAGAGTGTGGAGCCACAGTGTGGCGGTGGAGGCAGCAGCAATGGGAGGCCATACAGCACCCTATGACAAAAATGGAACCCACCAGCAGTGTGAGGAGACCTGAAAGTGGCACATGGCAGAGTGTGGCGATGGAGACAGCAGCAATGGGAGGCCGTACAGGGACCCATGACACACTCTGGACCTGGCAGCAGCATGAGGAGGCGGTACAGGGGCCCATGGCAGATTACGGGCCTGGCAGCAGCAATGGGAGGCCGTAATCTGCCAGCACCCTTGACAAAATGGAACCCACCAGCAGTGTGAGGAGACCTGAAAGTGGCACATGGCAGAGTGTGGCGATGGAGACAGCAGCAATGGGAGGCCGTACAGGGGACCCATGAGACACTCTGGACCTGGCAGCAGCATGAGGAGGGAGCGTACAGGGGCCCATGGCAGATTACGGGCCTGGCAGCAGCAATGGGAGGCCCGTAATCTGCCAGCACCCTATGAAAAAATGGAACCACCAGCAGTGTGAGGAGACCTGAAAGTGGCACATGGCAGAGTGTGGCGATGGAGACAGCAGCAATGGGAGGCCGTACAGGGACCCATGAGACACTCTGGACCTGGCAGCAGCATGAGGAGGCGGTACGGGGGCCCATGGCAGATTACGGGCCTGGCAGCAGCAATGGGAGGCCCGTAATCTGCCAGCACCCTATGACAAAATGGAACCCACCAGCAGTGTGAGGAGACCTGAAAGTGGCACATGGCAGAGTGTGGCGATGGAGACAGCAGCAATGGGAGGCAGTACAGGGACCCATGAGACACTCTGGACCTGGACTGGCAGCAGCAAGAGGAGGCGGTACAGGGGCCCATGGCAGAGTGGCGAAGCGTAAGCAGCTTAAATTGAAGGCCATACAGAGGCCTATGTTAAAAATAATAACACATGTTTGGGGCATGATTCATGGCGGATTTAGTCAGTTGTGTGTCAGGAACTGGTGGTTTGAAATCCAGACTAATCCACGCCTGATTCATTTTCACAAACGTGAGTCTCTCCACACTTTGGGTGGGACAGTCGTGTCCTCCGCGGAGTTACAATACCTCCTGCCGCACTAAACACGCGCTCCGATGCCACGCTACTGGCCGGGCATGACAGCCTTTCAAGGGCAAATTCAGCTAGTTGGGGCCAAAGGGTCAAGTTTCGTTGCCCAGTAGTCAAGGGGATTGTCTACCTCGGTTGGCAGGGTGCTGTCCAAGTAGGCCAAGCCTGTTGTTTGAGGTCCTGCTCCAGGTCCACCTGATGCTGCTGCTGCTGCTGCTGCGGCTGGTTAGTAGTTTCCTCACTGCGCTGGTGAAGAAAGAATACTCATCATCGACTGCAGACTGAGGCAGCCGCTGCTGGTGGAGCTGCCACTGCTCCTACCACCCCACCCTCCCCTGCTGCCATGGCAGCGGAACGCGAGCGCACAGGGCCCACAGTGTCTGAGGATGGACGTTGGCGCAGAAAGGCAGAGACCAACTGACTACATAGGTGGTTTTTATAGTACGTTATTTTGGCCTCCCTCTCAGCAGGTGTGAAAAAGGCCACCATTTTTGAACGGTAGCGAGGGTCCAACAAGGTGGACAGCCAAAAGTCATCCCTCTGTCTGATGGTTATTATTCGGCTGTCGCTACGCAAGCAAGCAAGCCGAGCATGCTATGGGCCATTTGTGCCAAGGAATGCGAGGGACTCCCTGCCTCCATCTCCACAGCATACTGCCACGGTGCGTCTGGGTCCTCTGTCTCCTCCTCCTCCTCCTCTACCAGATGCTCCTGCTCCTCCACTCCTGTCCGCTGAGTGGAAAAAACCACCCATTTCACTCAATAATTCCTGAGCACAAAGTCCTCCTCTACCTCCTCCTCTTCTTCCTGTCCTGCCCCCACAGGGGTCATGTGGCGTTGAGATCTGTGCGCCACGTCTACCGCACCCTGACCAGCCATTGTTAACAGCATTTGTTCCAGGACGTGCAACAGAGGAATGACGTCGTTCATCCCATAGTCCTGCCGACTCACGAATAGCGTGGCCTCCTCAAAGGGCCTGAGCAAGCGGCAGGTGTCACGCATGAGCTGCCAATGGCTGACATCGAAGTTACACAGGGGAGTACCTTTATCCGCTTGTAACATCAGGAAATCGGTGATGGGCCTTTCGCTGTTCGTAAAAAGGCGGTCTAACATATGTAGGGTTGAATTCCACCTTGTTGCAACGTCGCAGATCAGGCGATGCTGTGGAATTCCGTTCTGCCGCTGCAGCTCAAGGAGGGTGTGCTTTGCGGTGTAGGAATGGCTGAAATGCATGCAAAGTTTACGTGACATTTTAAGGATGTCTTGCAGTGGGATGGTGGATTTTAGGAACCGCTTGACAACCAGATTGAACACGTGAGCCATGCATGGCGCATGGCACAACCTTCCTTGACGCAGAGCAGACACCATGTTCTTTCCGTTGTCGGTCAACATGGTTCCGATTTTCAGTTTGCGCGGAGACAGCCATCTGTCGATTTCTCTGTTCATTACACTCAGAAGTTCCTCCCCTGTGTGACTACGTTCGCCAAGGCATACCAGGTGCAGCACAGCGTGACACCGTTGCGCCCTGCACATGTGATATGCCGGTCGGGTAATGGGACTTGGCACGGGGGTGGCGGCTGAGGACACGGCGGAAGAAGAGGTGGTAGAGGCGGACATCTTTTGTGGACCAAGGACGTGCAAACGTGGAGGCAAAAGCGGCGTGACCCTGTCCAAGTTGCTGGTGCGGCTGTGCCGGCACCACGTTCACCCAGTGGGCCGTAAATGACATGTACTGTCCCTGACCGTAGTTACAGCTCCACACGTCGGCGCTGCCGTGCACTTTGGCAGAGACCGACATGCTCAAAGACTGACTGGCCCACCATCTCTTCTACATGTGAATGCAGGGCTGGCACTGCCTTTTTGGCGAAGAAATGACGGCTTGGCACTCTCCACCGCGGCGCGGCACAAGCCATCATTTCTCGGAAAGGTGCTGAGTCCACCACTTGGAAAGGGAGGGACTGCAGCACCAGCAACTTGGACAGGAGGACGTTCAGCTTTTGCACCGTCGGGTGCGTGCTCGCAAACTGTTGTCTCTTGGAAACGGATTCCAAGAAAGACTGCTGACGGAATCCGTGAAGAGGAGTAGCAGGAGAAGGAGCATCTGAACGAGCGGAAGATGCCAACGAGCGACAACTCCCCTCAGCAGAGGTGTTGGAGCCTTGACTGGCTGATATAGAGGGCGATTGACGTCGGGTGACGGAGCAAGTAACGGAGCGGGTGATGGAGCGGGGGCTGGGGCAGGCAGAACCGCCGTATCTTTATCAACGGTTTTCCCAGGCCACCAAAATGGCGACGCTGCATATGCTGACGCAACGCTGTAGTCCCAACATGGGCCCCCTGGCCACGCTTGACTTTCTGGCCACATAGTCGACATACGGCTACGTTTACTTCCTCGGGCGGCTTGACGAAAAATTGCCACACACGCCGAGTAGGAAACTTTGCCCCCGCTACTCCTCACTGGCTGACTGCTACTTCCTCCGTGCACACCGGCACCACTACTGGCCGTGGTGGTAGGCTGCAGTGGAGCTGGTGCTCTACTCCGTGGCCGTTTGCCTCCACTGACACTGACTGCTGCGACCCTGCTGCCTCCTGGGCAACCCACCGACTGTTTTGCTCGCTGCCAAGCTGGCACCCTCTTCTCCTGATGATGCGGAAGCAATAGCCTGATGACGACGAGGCTGCCAAGTGCGATCAGCCTCATCATCATCAATTAGGGTCTCCGCCTCACTACTAGCCCCCTCGGCTCGGCTGCGTGTGGGTCAGGAGACAGACCTGTCTCTAGACCGGCTACCGAGCCACTCTCCTCGCCACTACTTCTTCGCCTGGCTGCTGAAGAGGCGGATGTCTCCCCCCGTTCCTGACCGCCCTCTGTTAGCTCTTCCTCACTGTACAGTGGGGCTGAGCCCACAGCATGCGATACTTCGCTTGGTGAGGGAACACCAAAGGACAGGGGCAGGTAGAGGACACGTGATTTCAGTGGGCTTGCTCCCGGGCCATGCCAACTAACGGTTGTGTCTGACGTACCCACCGACCGTTGGCTGTAGGTGTCAGAGGTGACCTGGGAAGAGGAAGACGACCGAGCCAACCAATCGATGACGGCAGGGTTGTCGGTGGAGACACGACCGCTGGATGACACCGGGAGCACTGGCCTCTGGCTGCGACTAGTGCTGCCTCGACCCCCTTCCTCTGCTGCCACGTCTGCTCGCTCCTGAAACATTGCCTCCTCTGCCACTCCTCTGCGTGTTGTCTGACATACTCTTTAATTTCAAACGATTCTGTGTCCCTGAGTAACAATTCTGTGTCCCTGAGTAACAATTTTGTGTGTCCCTGAGTAACAATTCTGTGTCCCTCAGTAACAATTCTGTGTGTGTCCCTGAGTAACAATTCTGTGTCCCTGAGTAACAATTCTGTGTCCCTGAGTAACAATTCTGTGTCCCTGAGTAACAATTCTGTGTCCCTCAGTAACAATTCTGTGTCCTCTCAGTAACAATTCTGTGTCTGTCCTCAGTAACAATTCTGTGTCTGTCCCTGAGTAACAATTCTGTGTCTGTCCCTGAGTAACAATTCTGTGTCCCTGAGTGTCCCTGAGTAACAATTCTGTGTCTGTCCCTGAGTAACAATTCTGTGTCTGTCCCTGAGTAACACAATTCCCTGTGTCCCTCAGTAACAATTCTGTGTCCCTCAGTAACAATTCTGTGTCTGTCTCTAAGTAACAATTCTTCTGTGTCCCTGAGTAACAATTCTGTGTCTGTCCCTCAGTAACAATCTGTGTCCCTCAGTAACAATTCTGTGTCTGTCCCTGAGTAACAATTCTGTGTCTTTCCCTGAGTAACAATTCTGTGTCTGTCCCTGAGTAACAATTCTGTGTCTGTCCCTGAGTAACAATTCTGTATCCCTCAGTAACAATTCTGTGTCCCTGAGTAACAATTCTGTGTCCCTCAGTAACAATTCTGTGTCTGTCCCTGAGTAACAATTCTGTGTCCCTGAGTAACAATTCTGTGTCTGTCCCTGAGTAACAATTCTGTGTCTGTCCCTGAGTAACAATTCTGTGTCTGTGTCCCTGAGTAACAATTCTGTGTCCCTCAGTAACAATTCTGTGTCCCTCAGTAACAATTCTGTGTCCCTGAGTAACAATTCTGTGTCCCTCAGTAACAATTCTGTGTCCCTCAGTAACAATTCTGTGTCCCTCAGTAACAATTCTGTGTCCCTGTAACCCCTGAGTAACATTTCTGTGTCTGTCCCTGAGTAAACAATTCTGTGTCTGTCCTGAGTAACAATTCTGTGTCCCTCAGTAACAATTCTGTGTCCCTCTCAGTAACAATTCTGTGTCCCTGAGTAACAATTCTGTTCTGTGTCCCTGAGTAACAATTCTGTGTCTGTCCCTGAGTAACAATTCTGTGTCTGTCCCTGTGTCCCTGTAACAATTCTGTGTCCCCTGAGTAACAATTCTGTGTCTGTCCCTCAGTAACAATTCTGTGTCCCTCAGTAACAATTCTGTGTCCCTCAGTAACAATTCTGTGTCCCTCAGTAACAATTCTGTGTCTGTCCCTGAGTAACAATTCTGTGTCCCTGAGTAACAATTCTGTGTCTGTCAGAGTAACAATTCTGTCTGTCCCTGAGTAACAATTCTGTGTCCCTCAGTAACAATTCTGTGTCCCTCAGTAACA